CTTCACTGACTTCAAGGTTGTAATTAAAGTTACAAATTCCAGCAATTTAACTACTGTACTGCAAGTAAATAACGATTAAAATAACTAATCTTTGAAGAACTGGTTAAGGACTAATGATTCACATTGTCGACCAGGTGTTGAAGCTTATAGAACATCAACTCAGACTACATTAAGTTAAAATATAAATAAAGTGAAGTGTCTAGATATTAAAAATTTGGATTCAGCCATCAAAAAATAGATATTAATCCTTTCAATAGTAACTTTCTTGTTGATATTTAAAATAATAATTGACAAGTAGAATATAATTTCATTTTAATGGCTTGAGAAACAACAAATCCATTATTCAGAGAGTAATAATGGATTTTTCTAGTCCCATTCATTGTAAACTTTACATTTTTTTTTTTATGTTTAATTAATGTTTGGATGTTCTCAGGAATTTGTAGAATTTGATGATGCACTTGTTACATCTTGTATATGTACAATTGAATTGTGCTAAGAGAATCACAGCAGACTAATATAATTGAGGAGAAGCCACATGGTAAATATTCTGATGCTAGTTAAGTGTAGTACCAAAATTTAGTGAGAACATAAGTCTTTCCAAGTTGTGAAGATCTTCCTGACAAGTTTCAGCATAAACAAACAGGCTATATATGACATTGCTAATATCAAGTGGCTGTTGTAGGCTATTCAATAGGCAGAAAAGTGGCATCAAAACAAACCAGGATGGACAAGATTTTTAACAAATCATGAAGTCTAATGAGCATACATAATTTGTCTCTTTTTTGCCTACAGTATACAGTGGTACCTCAGGATATGAACGCCCCATCATACGAAATTTTCAGGATACGACACGAAATTCGAACATATTTTTGCTCCACAATATTAACAAAAATTCACCATACAACGTTACATTAGTTCGCAGCACCATTTTTTATTCACTTCTGTTCATCGGTCTCAGTCCGTGCGTTTGCTTCATGGTGGAAGGATCTCGTTCGATAAAGGAAATCTCGAGGTATTATCAGAAAGTGACCGATTTTATTGAAAAGAAACATCCCGAAAAGGTTCACACTGGCCGTATTGCTGCTCAGAGTAATGTCATTTGCCTAAGTCATTTTAGAAACATTTTAAAAAGTAGGCAAAGCCAAACCTCTTTCGATAGATATTTTACCTAGCGACCTCTATCCAGTGAAAGTGCTGGTGGAAGTGAAGGAAAGACGGCAAAAAGCAGTGAATAAAAATTTTAAAAATATATAGGCCTATATATATAAAACAACACTAATTTTTTTAAATCTTTTCTAAGTTATTTTTAAGCTATTGTTACATTATGTTACGTAAGTTAAGTTTTAGTATCATTTCCCTTCTCCCTCTCTTCCGCCACCAGTTTACACCTCCACCGTCGTCTATCCTCAAAGCTAAAGTGCAAATAAAACTACATTTTTTTTATCAATTATTATTCTATTATGGTTATTTATACATTTACAACTAGAAAATGCATTTTTCAGTGTTTTCCTTACTATAGTTATTTTTTTTTAATGTACTACTTAGCTTTAATTTGAGTGTGTTTTTCGTGTTTGAACGAATTATTTAATTTTACATATAATCGTATGGGGAAAAATGATTCACCTTACAACATTTTCATGATACGATCTCAGTTTCGGAATGGATTAATTTCTTATCCTGAGGTACCACTGTATATAGTTTCTATCAGCTTTGTTGCACACATTTATGACATAATATACAATCTTGTAACATAAGTGTTTCTATAGAATAAAGAATAGATATCTGAAGAGACTGAATAATTTCAAGTGCTGATATTTCTTATATGTCGGAAGTTTAAAAAAAGAAAACAAAATTTCAAAAAACATTATCCTGTGTGTACAGGAAATCCGTTGTTTGTGATTTAACAAATTTTTGGAATAATGAATGATTTTTGGCACCTCAAGCGATTCATTAAAATGAGATTCTACTGTGTATTTGAAAGTCAGAGCAAATTGAACATCTGGATGGGATCCAGCCCCAATCAGTCTAGATTTTCAATGCTTCACTATACTGTACTTATGTTTTTGGATGCACTAATCCTGATAACATTAACCAACTGATAACAGCATCTGATTACAATAAGCAGATTTCTTCTGTATATATACAGTACATAAGACTGCCTAGAAAGTAATGTAACAAGTTTTTCTCTCATTGAAAATTTATTTTTTTACTTTCAAATACATATTTCACATTGTCACCTGAATCTTTGGTTACATAAATTATATTACAATGTAAAGTTTACAAATTTGAAAGAAGATTATGTCAGTAAGTTGTGAGAGATCATATCTTAGTGGCGTAGTATGTCTTTATAATTCTCTGTGATTCTGTAGTTATCTATTGCAACCAATTCATCATCTTTAAACTTCTTACCATGAAAAATGCATAGTTGGAAGTGGAAATGCATACTGGAAGATGACGATACTGATAATAGTTGGAAGAAGCAAGCTCAGATTGTAAAGTGGATGAGACAGGATAGTTTACTGAACTTTTGTAATGACTTTTTAGACATATATTTGTGTGAGATTTCATACTGTTGTGGCAAAGAGATATTTATGAAGTCTTTGGACAGACAAATCTACTTGAAATGCTTCTTTAATTTCCTCAGATTCTTCAAAAATTTTACCTAGACAACCAAATTGATTGATTGATCACTTGACAACACATATCAGAATCACTCTTTCATCATCCTAGAATATTGTTGCCATGATCTCAATGGCTATCTTAAACTGTTTCTTCCATTGAAAGATTATAAGATGCTATTTCATGGATTGTCTTTTGTTTCATATCTAAAGTAATGAATTGTGCCTCACCACTCATGACAATGCTAAACAAGAAACTTTCATCATCAAATTTTTAATAAACAAGAAATTCCAAGATAATGATTTTTCTTTGTTCCTTCTGTTTTGAGGAACCCAACGGATATTCAAGTGTATGCTTGAACTTTTTAATGGTTTTATCAATGAATCTCTTAGCAATGCAAAATTTAATGACAAGTTCCATAGTTATGATTTGCCAATCATTATAAACTAGAACGCTGATTCAGTGCAGAGTTGCAAACATCACAATAGCTGACAGACAGCCAGAACATGAAGATCAGAAATTTTTATTCTAACAATGTTAATTACTTTGTAAAGTGGCCCATGGTACTTTTATCCACTGTCCTTTAAAAACATCTGTGATGTTTTTAAGGGTTTTGAATATTCATAATTGTTTGATTCCTATTAAAAAAAACTCAAGTATCAACTCAAAGTGAATAAGCATCATTCACAGATGCTATTTTAAAGATCTTTAATTTTACTATTGTTATCTATCACGAAATGTTGCAAATATGTATATAAATGCAAGATACTTGAAAGTTACAGCATGCAAAATCTTTTTCCCAACTAAATTTAGCTTAGAAACTATATGCACTGTATTACTTTTTGGGCATCCTTTACATGAAAACAAATAAAAGCTTATCAATTTTCTTATATTAAATCATAAGGAAAAAATAAACAAACTTTATTCAAACAACAACTGTACCAAAATTTTAAAATTTTTAATTATTTACTTTAATATTAATTAAATATAATCACAGTAACTAGCACCTACTGTGTATAAAAGAATTTTGAATCAGTTTTCATATTTAAGAAAAGTGTAAGAGATTAAGTATGCAAAACTGTTTACCAAATATATGTAAAATATTTATATAAAAGTTTAAATATCAAAAACAACATTATTAATATTAACATTTAATCATTTTTGCTATATGATTAAGTAGACCATTTGCTAACTGCATATAACTGTCTAAATTAGAAAATATACCAATCCTGAATATATCAATAATAATAGTTCCAAATAAAATGTTATTTTAGAGAGAGATATTATTAACAATGTATTAAAAGTAATCTTTTGTTATTATTGCATATTATCATTATTTGTTAGGCAAATCATCATTTATTGTTAATATAAAAATATATTAATATATTTATGATATACTTAATAAAAAGTGGCATTTTTATCTATTTTATTCCAAATTACATATATAGAATAAATAGCCTGTATTTTGAAGTTTTAAGAATATTGATTTTAAAAAAATATCCATTTTGATAAAATCAATATCCATTTAAAAAAAAAAATATGACGACAGTTTCACAGAGAAACATTCTTCATTCAGACCTGCTTATATTTTAACATTTTCTCTCTGAGAAGACTAAATATGTTGTTTTAATCTAACTGTAAAAAATCCATCTATTCTATATCGGAATTGTCTGGTAAATATTATCACATGTATGACTTGTCATCATTGCAATGATGTAATTTATTGTAGGTAAAGTTAGTATATATCATAAAATAAAACAAACCCAGGTTTGTTTTATTTTTCATATTCATAAATTGATTACTACTAAACAGTACTAATTATAAAAATATAAAAGTTATTTTATATTTATAAAAAACAATGTTTAAAATATTAAAATTAATTATTGCAGAAATTTATTTCAAATTTCTTGATAAAATTAAAATATTCTTTATTAATTTTAAAATGTTAGATGATAGAAATATTTTGAAATATATGAATATTTAACAAATTTAACTTCTAATTTTGAATAATCTAAGAATAACCACAAATACATTTCAAAAGAATGTTTTATTAGCATCTTTTAAACTTAAATTTTTCTTTTACAAATTTACTTTATAACTGAAAATGTTACATAAATATGTGGGAATTAGAAATTCTATTTTCATTCATTATCAGTTATGATGCATAAGCTACAAACTAAAATAAATAATTTTAATCATTACAGTATGATAGAGTTTTTTGCTATTATACTTCATATTTTAACTCTGTTTATATATATACAAAATTGTCATATCTGTGAAAACTTCCTTAACCAATAAGCATATTTAGAATTTTTAAAAATTCCACTAAATATTAATAAGAGATAATCACCATAAAAAATTATACAAAGCACTTTCAGCACCTGTTTACCAATGGTATTGAAGTAGACATCAACACACATGCAGCTCCATCTTTATCATTGGGCCTGTATGCTGGTTTCATTTGATCTGCTTTTTTATCATCTACGTCTTCAACTGGAATTTCTCTTTCATAGCACTTTTTTTGTAATATCTGAGAAATTAATAAATAAGCAATTTTAAGCTTGATTACTATTATTTTACATCACAGTTCTATTTAAACTTTTTAAAATATTAAAAATGAAATTGTTATCAATATATTAGAGTACATAGTAATTTTTCAATTTAAAAATTAACTATCCAACAATATAAAATCATAATTACTCATATGTTAATAATCAAACCATATTTAGATTTGTACTGGGTATAATTATTAAGATACTAAGAATTTGGAATAGAGGTAGACAGTTAAGCTACCATCTAATGTTAAATTTAATCATAGAAATAGATTTGATTTAATTTAGAATATTCTAAATTAATCTGGAAACAGATTAAATGGAAGTCCAGGCAGTATAATTGCTGAAGCATCTACACAGTGGAGTCCAAGCCAATCTTTCATTCCAGAATATTGTAAATTAAAATTTACTTTTTACAAAGATACATTGGAAGTTAGACTAGAAGCAAGCTTAATAATTAATTAGCCATATTATAGTCCAATAACAATCTGGCTATATTGTATGATTATAAAATTATATGCTTCCTCTAATATTTTTCTCCTGATTGAATTCAAAATTTTTAACAGATTAATTATTTCTGAAGAAAATTTACTCAAATCCATTTTTCAGTCAAATTTTATACTCTTTTACAATGAGACATTTTTATAATATATCAAGAGAAAATATTAAAGTATTTTATAATTAAAAATTAAAATCTGGGACTTCCTTTATAAAAAACAAAATTATATTAGTAAGGACTAGTTATAAGTATCCTAGTTCCATTTCTAGATTAATACTGTCAATCCAATATACATTCATTATATAGCATTAAGCAAATTTAAATTTTATCAAAACTCAACTAAACTAAAGATATAGAACTAAGAACTATTTATACATTTTTGTGTCATTATTTGTTAATATCAAAGATTGGAAATAAATTTTCAACAGCTAAAAGTCTCAATTTAGATTTAAAATTCAACTATATTTGAGAGATATCAAAAAGAATTTTAAAAATTTATATATTAAAAATTTTAAACAAACTTAAGCCTATACCATCATTGTATTCTAATTCTGATAATGTTTCATGTTAACTTTGAAACTACATGAATCAAGAGATATCAAATGTAAAGTTCTAATTCATTTCAATAACATTAGTTCTAATTCAAATTTTCAACTCTGCAATTTTAAAAACAATCAAATTATTTTCACTCTATTTTTCTACAACTTTCAATATTTATTTAAATAATGTTTTATTCTTTTTTCATCATTGGTATCTATATTGGCCAATAAATTAATGGAATTGAAAAATTACTGACAATAATATACATGTTTCACTAAAAAATTTATCACTTCCTAGTTAAAATGCCATTAGTTATACTATAGGTTTGGACACAGATCTTTCTCCTCATTCTATTTAATTTCTTGGTCACTAAATTTTAATCTAAAAGGAATCTTTTAGCTACTGATAATTTATTTCAAATTTTATAAATAGGTAATTAATCATTTTATATAAGCAACCAAAAATATATAAAGTATTATTTTTCAGTATTGTTATTTTTAAATTTAATCAAAATCTAACTAATATGTTTAGCATTGTATATTTGAATGTGTGTATGACTGGCAATATCAAAATCAAATAAATAAGTCTGAAACAGCTAAAATTAGTTTCTTTAATATAATTCTGTTCTATATAAACAAAGTCAAAATTTCATTTGAAATTGTTAAATACTCAAAATTACAAAATGTCTAAATGGTTTATAAATTTGTAATTTAATAATAATGCTCTAGTTATTATAAATTTATTAACTGACTGCTTAAAAACAAAATATTTTAAGTGCATAGCATTACCTATAAACAATTTTTAAGATTAAAAGTTAACCAATGTGATCAACAACTGATGTTAAATTTTTCATATTCTGAGGATCCAATTAATATAATTTACTAAATATAGATTGCCAAATAAAATTTATAATTTCTAGTCAGCATCATCCTATTATAATTAAATATCATTTCATGTAAAATAGAATTACATTTACAAGAAAAATATAAAAGGTCATATACAACTAAATTACTTAATGAGATGATCAAAACTACTTTTATAAACATATTCAATATCACTTTTTAGTCTCATTTAAAATTCTCTAATTTGCATATTTTTCTTTCAAATCATAATTCAATTTAATTTTTCTACTTCATTTCAGAATAGAGGAAGAGATTTGTATATATTAAATAGTGTTAAATAAATACTGTCTATTCAAAGAATTTACAAGTTGGTTTTATGCTTGTTCAGGATGAGTTTTTAAAATTATTGAGATTTCTTTTTTTCCTAACTTTTTCTAGTTAGAAAAAAAATATCATCATCAATAATATAGTTTTGAAAAATATGTAGGCTAATTATGTACAAAAATATTTTTAAAGGATTATATTATTTTATATTTTTCAAATCAGTGTTAGCTTTAAATGAATATCTAAAAATGAATGGGGAATGCAATTCTCATGTCTATCTATTTTATAAAAAATGATATTCTCATATAATGAAAAGTAAAAATAATTCATCAAGATAAAAAAGTGAATTAAAATTTTAAAATGTTTAACTTTTTTATTTTTATTTGTAACAATGCTATTGTTTTTTCATTATATTAAAAAAATTTATATATACTGTTTATAAAATTGGTTATTTGAATTACAGTATTTTAAAAAAATCTTATTTACTAGCTAAGGCACCTGGAATTTGCTTAGAGAATATTATGTAGATTCTGTAATTAGATGAAACTTTGTTATGGCTTGATAATGGTATATAACATAAAATGTATTTAGACACAGTATATCCAGTGACAACACAGGAAATCTCTAGTTGAATGGCTACAATATTATATGTGAATGGTCTCCTATAGAAGTTTCAAGTATATATATAGTCAACCCCCCCTATAACATGGGTTCCTATAACTGAAATTCCTATAATGTAGCGAAAAAATTGCAGCAGTATTCCTATAAAGGGACTCATAAAACGTCGTCGCCGACTCGTGTTGCGACAAGATTGGTTGAATCTGGACCAATAGTGGATGAGCAGCCAAACTATTTTCTGCCATCTAGCGCCACGCTACAGAGAGTTTAGGCGAGTAAGTTGAGTTTACTATCGTCTGTACAGTATGTAAATTAGGTACCGTAAGTCTAATACAGCACTAATTTTATACATTTCTTGTGAAAGAAACATTTCTTATTCAACGGCCATAAAAATTATTTCTATTAATGATATCTCCAAAGGTCAACGAATTTTTCACAGAAAAATAATTTATCAGAAAACGTGGCCGCCGTTTGATGCGCTGCTCCGCGACGAAAACAGGCTTAAGCAATGACGACGTCGAACGGTGCACACTCAGTAAGTAATCCTACAATTTTTTGTTTATAGCATAGTTTATACAGATTATTCCCAAAAAATTATAAGTGTTTTGGAAATGTTGAGTCAAATTAGTCTAGAATCGGTTAATTTTATAGAAGAAAACTTTTCAAACAGCCTTTGTCCGTAAACTTCACAGGTGTCGGGCTGTGATTGGCTCATGTATTTAAGGATTCCTACAACGTAAAATTCTTATAAAGTGGAACGTATCTAAGCGCTACAGGGGGGTCTACTGTACTTGTCCCACATATACAATCAAAACCCAAACAGTTAATCTGGCAGTTAACTCAAGTCTGGCCATTTTCTGTGCTATTATCTGGACTATTGATCCAGAGCAAGGGATTTGAGTTCCATTCTGATTTTTTCTTTAAAAAATGTTCTTTTGTGATCTATTATCAAAACAATTCTTTTTGCTTAATTTTTGTAAAAATATTCCTTAATTCTAAGATTCTGTTTTTTCTTTTGGAAAAATAAAATAAAGTTATGTGCAAAATAAGAATCCAATGCCCTTTGCATTACTCAATGATTCAGCCAACTGTACCATTCAGGAACTGAATAATTGAGTAAAATAGTCATCAAATATACTTAATTCACTGTTTAATTAATTTACAACTAATTAATTTTAGTTATACAAAACAGAACTTGAAAAATTAAACTAAACATTTTATCAAACTTAAAAAATTCAGGACAAGTTTTTAAAATTAGCAAAATAAGCTGTGGACAAACCAAAGTTGTATTTCCAGTATTTATGAAGAATGTAATTTATATTTTTACTTAATTTTTGTGAATATAAGTTGATTTATTGATAATTTTATAATTTTTTTTCCAAATTGAATAGATCAATGGTAACCAATAAGAATCAATGTTATTCAATTGTGAAAGCTATCTCAAAGAACCACACTGGTCATAAATATCTTTAGATTATTTAAAATTAAAATTATTAGTTTAATATGTATTTCATATTGTATGATTAAGTTGTATCTATATTCAGTTAAATATTTCTATATATCAGTAACATTGTTTTAAAGTAGTTTATATATTTGAGAAATGTATATGAAATCTCAGACTGGAAAGGTGGCAAGTATTTCTCCATACTGTTTATAACAAAAAAGTAAATAATTCAAAATTGAAAATACTTGGATATCAATCTGCTAATCTTTTATTTTTTAGAGTAATTTATTAGTCAAACTGTTCAAAAACATTTTACTAATAAACTACTGAAAAAAAATAAAAGATTAGCAGACTGACATACTACTTATAACTGTCAAACTTTATATGATATTACTTTGAATAACTGTTATTATGACTACATAATGCATTTTAATTTTTGTTTGAAATCACCAAATTTAAATATGAATCTTAGTGAAACTTGAATTATTTCTTAGACTTAAAACTAGGAATAATCAAAGCTATGGAGTCAGAAACAAATTAATTGCTAGAGGAGTTGGAGTAAGTAAAAATTCACTGACATTGACTCCTGTTTTTTTTTATTATGTACTGTACACTACAGCACTTTATATTAACCTCCTATCCTACATTATAAGAGCATTCTGTAATTCTGGATTAATATAATCAAAGTATATTTTAAATTATTATTTAGAGGCAACAGTTAAAATTAGACCATCTAAAATTCTATGAGTTAGAGTTGGGAGCTTGGTCTACTCCACAGCCCTAGAAATAATGTTACTGCAGTTATTCACAATATAAATAGAACATTAATAAATGAAGAGTACAATGGTTGTTTCATCCATTTTATTTTGAGATTTCTCACAAAAAAATGACTAGTAGACCTTAAGTTTCTGTAGAAGACTCCATTTTGAAACCATAGTGGAAAATGACCCACAAATTTCAAAAGAATGTGTAATTAAAACTGACATTCATCATACAAATGTGTTGCATCTTATTGCTAGTGAGATGAAATACTGGGACAGAGGAATACCTAAAGTAAACCACAACAAACAAGATAGAACATGTGTCCATCACTTCTATTCCAACAAAAGTACATTTTTTAACTAATTTTTCACTTGTGACAAAAAGTAGATAAGGTACTTCAAAGAATTCAATCAATAGCTCAAAAAAATTCCACATCATGTCCCAAAACCTTGCCATCCATGGAAGGTTTTGGAATGCTCTTAGTAAATCGAGTGCAGCATAAATGGTATGGATGAAAAAAATAAATGATTCATAATATGTTCATTTTTATATACTAATACTAACATTAAAACAAAGATACTGTCAAATATTAAACACGTGAAGGAAAAACAAACGAATAAAACTGAAAATTCACTAACACTAATAAATTGGTATAAACCAATCCTACATTGTAAAAACAACAATGAAGCTTTACAAACTTCAATAAAATTCTGCAATACCTTTATACACCATAACTGTTATCAATAAATTTCCACTTATTTAAATATGTGGATTTAGTCTTTAAAAAAAAATATTTTGAGAATGAAAAAATTTCAAAAGCAGAACTTTTTTTTTTTTTAGAATTAGAAGTTATTTTCAAAAATAGTATTTATTTTTTATAATCAAATTCATGGATATAATTTTGATTAAATAAATTATTTTTCTAAAACATGTAGTTTTTAGTTACTACTGTAAAGATCTGCCATTTCATATGTACCAACCAATATAAGGCTTTATTTTTAAATGGATTTTATTTCTTTCTTATTATTTGTTGTCAACAATCAAAATTTCAATTTCAGTATTTTTGGTATGTTATATAAATAATAATAATTAATTTTTTAGCACATATTTCTATGTAACAAATAGCAACAGAAAATAATTACATTATTTTTAATGTTTGGTGGTTAAAAACAATTTTGCAAGATGAATCATCACAGTCTCTATAATGGGTGCCTAAGATCTCATAAAACTGACATTTGTTATATTATGTTAGTCACATACCTATATGTTGCATATTGCTTATGTCTTAAACATATTTCTAGTTGAATCACCATGTAAAATTTTATTTCAAAATTCTAAATAATTTTGAAATGAAGAGAATAAGAAATGAGATCTTAGCAATCAGAATTAGCCATTACTACATACAAAGATGTAGCTAACTACAACAACTTAAAAACCTTTTTCATTTTTCAGGAGTGAAAAAGTCAACTACCTACCATTATTAGAAGATAAATGAAAAACATGAAGTGCTGAACATATGATGTGTGGTCATCTCTTATCTGAAAAACCCAGTATTCAACCTCCCTGAAGTGTTTACACACAACCCAAACTTGTTATATCATCTGCTGCTATTGCAATTGGCATTCCATACCAAACATTGGTTAAAGGTAAACAATTTAGAAATAAAATCTGCAGTTAGAAGTCTTGTACCTCATTACAAGAAAGACTATAAACAACAATGCAAAAATGTCAAAAGATCATTAAAAACAAGCACTGTTAAATTGTGGAAAAATCACTGTGCTGGATGCAAAAGTTACATGCCTTTTGACCCAAGTGAAATGCCTGATAAGAAGTACTACCACTACACTAATAAAACTGACATACCAGACATGAATAAATTCAGAGAATAAATTTAACAAATACTTGGTGTAGCAAGCCATTGATGAAAAAGATACAATGTCATACCCTTACATACCCATTGGTACTACGGACTCTGATACCTAATAACTAAGTGCTGTACAACAAAATGTTAATTTTGTAAAAAAGCAGGAAAATGTGCCACTAATATACTTCAGATACTTTTGAAACCTTTTTTGCACACAGCAAGACAGAATACTTTAGACCAGTGTTTTTCAACCTTCTTGAATACACAACCCCTTTAAAAGTTAAAAAATTCTGGCAACCCCCACGGCCATATTAAAACTATGTCAGTGATTTTAAAAACTACATATTTAATTTTCTTTTTTGTTGAGATTTAAATATCGATCAAAAAACTAATTGTACTGTAAAATAAACAGGCACAGCCTTCTTATTGAAATTGTAGTTTTTTTTATTGTAGTGTAGGACCTACAAATACTTATCTTTTTCTTTTACCCACGACCTACCGTGTATGGCTTTGCGACCCCCCTGGGGTCGCGGCCCACAGGTTGAAAAACACTGCTTTAGACAATCAAAACCTGCTAAAAATGTCAATTCTTTCAAAATAATATGGAAACCAACTGCTAGAAAAGTCAATGATCATGTCTTAACAATTGTAGGAAGTATGTGAAAAAACTTTTTGCAAGATCAGACAAGGAGGAGCTTATATACTATTATGTCTATAAAATTAAAAGTGAATAAAAAGGAACAAAAAATTAATAGGCAATTATAATCATAGGCAAAAGAAAAAACTGAGAATTTTAAGATATCTTGAAAATTTTTAATGTAACTTAGTAAACACACAAAAAAACTAAAATCACATGTAATATGATTGAAATTATTGAAATAAACTACAGTCGAACTTGGTTAATTTGAATTTTTGGATAATTCAAATTTTTCAAATTCATCTTGAGTATCCCATTACATGTAATGTTAAAATTTCCTGTTTAATTCAAAATTTTTTTTTCTAATTTTTCTAATTTGAAGCAGGAGTAGCCTTATATTTCAAAAATTACTACAGTTTTCCCATAGTAGAATATCTATTTTCTTAAAATTCTTGCCTGCCCTGCAGTTGTCCTTTCTCCTTTTGTGTCCTAATTTGTGATTTACTGATAAACTATATACACTACAATGGATAAAAAACAATAGGGGACCTATTGTTGTTAAACATGTAATGTGTTTGAAATTTCTAGAATGTTTGAAATTCCCACCATGTTACATCATGTGCTAGGTTTTAGGTGCTTATCTATAATCATTCATTGCAGTACAGTACATATTGTAGGCCTACTGTTCTGTTCCTTTCATGTACAGTAGTCTGGAATAGCAGTGTAATGTAGCTTAGTTGCATTTTTTTACTGTATTGATGATTATCATGTTAAAGCATAGGTCATATGATAATTCTTTGACTTTATAGGAAAAAGTTGAGGTTTTATTTATTTAATTATAATTATTAATTTACTTAAGAGATGGCACTAACATCTACTTCTAGTGTCAAATTACTTTATACCAATCATTTAATTAGCCATATTATAGCCCAATATTTAGGCAATCGTTTGGTGATTTATCTTATAAAGTTGAGGTAATTAACAAAGTAGAAAAAGGAATAAAAAGAAAGTGTGATATCACCATATCACCACCCTTTGTTGTCAGGTGTTTCTAGTGATTTTTAAGATGGTTACACAATCATGACACAACAGAGTAATTGTCAAAATTAGCATGATATTCTTGCAATTCATACCTTTTAAACATTTCTCTCACCCAACATCATTTTCTCTTTAATATATCTTTCATATTTGTAAGAAATATGCAACAATGATTAAAAACAACATGGAAAGTGTTTTTTTACTGATGATCTTCTCTTGTTTATAAATGATTAGTTGCTCAAAATTCGCAATCACTTTTCACTTTTTGCAGTCTAGATGAGTTTCACTTTCATGTTTTGCGTTTCACTCAGTGTTAAGTTTAACAAGAAAATGTGACAACAAAGTAAATATACTATATCTGTATTGCTTAACAATTATCAATAAAATTAGTTAATTTGTATTTTGGATAATTTGAATTATTTTGCAGTCCTCTTGAACTTCGAATTAACAAAGTTCAACTGTACTTATAACAGTTTAAAATCAGAAATCATTAAAAAATAAATTAAAAAGATTAAATTTTAAATAATTGATAAACTAAGAACTTTTTCTTTGAAAAAATATTAAAATCATCAAATATAATGTATTATCTATATATATAATTTTATAACAAATTGTAAAACAACATATTTAACTACTTACACTTTCTATTGTTTGAAAATCAAACATGTCGTCAATAAATCGAACTCTATCAATCTGTGATACCATAATGAAATATTTAGAATCTTGAGCTCTTGCTCTGCCTTTAGATTGAATATATGATCTAAACTCTTCTGGTCTGTCAAATCTTATTACTAAATTACACTTAGGAACATCTAATCCTTCCTCTACAACAGATGTAGCTATTAAGAGATTATATTCTTTGTTACGAAACTTGTACAAAATTTCTTCCTGTTTATGAAGTGACATTGTAGCGTCTCTTGTTGCACAGTTCCTCTGAATTTGATTGTGGCCATATATAAAATTTGATGAAATAAATTTAAAATCTTCACGTTTCTTACTGATTTCAGTAAGCCATAAATTTAATACATGAGCAGTTATTCTTTCTTTAACAAATACAATACCACACATTTTTTCTGATTTGAGATCCTCTATTTGTTTTTCATTTCTATTTAGCTGAATTTTATTTTCTTGTTCCACTTTTTCTTCACCTGCATCTAACTGGTTATTTATAGATGTATTTAAAAGTCCATTTTGGAAGTTATTTTTATTTTCCATTGGTTCAGGATCCATTGATGGCTTAAAATTTGTTAAGATCTTTAATAACTCTTTTAATTTTGGAGAAGCACTGAGCAGATCATCATTTTCATTTTCTATCAGTTCCTTGAATAATTCAATAACCATATGTAATGTGGTATTAACAATAATAAGCATATTCTTATGTTCCTTAGATTCTATATTATCTATCATATAACTGATTTCTTTCCTAAATAATTCTGCAGTTTGTACAGCACACCAAGGTCCTAAAGTAATGATTACATGTTGAATTTCTAAAAGATATCTTTTTGGCTGTTTACAAGGATCAGGAAGTTTTTCTACAGGCATTTTATCATTTTTGGGACACTTGAAATCCTTAATGAAATCTAAACATTTGTGTAATACATGCATTATATTTTCAAAGTGGATAGAATTATTTTTATAGTCGTCATAAAATGTAAGATGTTCATCTGGTTTAGTTCCATACTTTCCAGCAGTCATTAAATCACTAGCTGTAACAACAGTACTCTTTAATATATCTTCTAGTGTTTTTATTTCCTCTTCAAGTTTTGTTGGTTTACATTTGTTGTTTAGCAGAGAAGCACTAAGTCCTAATATCCTAGGATGTTCTTCATCTTTACATAAATCAAAATACCTCATTACTTCTCGATATGGATGTGCTTTTCGAGCTTTATGACATTCATCTATGATTAATAAATTTATTCTTGATAATGGCAAAAGATTATGGCAAACAATCATTCTGAATATATCAGGTGTCATTACTAGTACATGAACATTTTTTAGTTCATTTGCCCAAAACTCCAATGTACTTTCATGTTTTTCTTGTCTTCCACAATAAGCTCCAACTTTCAAATCTGTATAATCTGATATAACTTGTTTTTGCTGTTTAACCAAAGGAGCTATTAAAAAGAAAAAAAAATTTTAAGTTAAATTTCAATAAAAATATCAAATTTCTTATCAAGCAACAAAAAATTTAATAGTGTAATGATAAATGTTTACATCATAAATTAAATCACTAATATCACACAAAAATAGAATACACTAATATATGCAGACTTAATATTAAAATCTGTATGTGATCCAATCTATAAAAAGGTATCTTAAGTCAGAACACTAAATTTCACTGTAGAGCAAAAAAAAAAAAAAAAAAAAAAAAAAAAAAAAANTCCAGGGGATCTCAAAACAGTCAAGAATTCTAAAAAAAAAATCCGGAGGGTCAAATTTCATTACAGTATAATACTTTCCCGTGTTATGTTATAACAGTCAGGAAAGTAATAAACATTATATTACAAGTAACAAGTCCGAAGTACAAAACATTTGTGCTCTTATAAAAAGTAAAATAAAACTCAAAAAGTTTTATGGAGAACGGAAACAATAAAGCTTGTATATTGTTTGGATGTTTTATAGATCTGATGCTGGAAAGTAGATAAGTAAATTATACTTAATTTCCTAAATGGGTCGTTTATTTTGAAAGTGGACTATGTCCATTTTTCAAAAAAAAATTTAGTCAGCTGTTATAATGTTTACATTTCGACGTTATTTTTCATTCTTTAACAATTTGCAGCGTATTATGTTGGAAATTCATTGAGATTTTGGAAACAGAAAATTAGCTGGTTAATAGAACAATAAAAATTTTATTTTGAAAGTGGCCTAAGTCCATTTTTCAAAGAATCAAAGTAATCTGTTGTAATTTATACAGTTCTACATCATTTTTCATTTTAAACAATTTGCAGCTTATTATATTCAAAATTCATTAATATTTTGGAAACAGAAAATTAGCTGGTTAATAGAACAATAAAAATTTTTATTTTGAATTTCTAAGTCTACTTTGACAAGTTTCAAACTAATATGCAGTATGTTATGCAGTAAAATTTTATTAGTTAATAATTACAATAATAAATCTATTATATATAACATAATTTTACAATAATAACACATTGATGGTGCTGCTCACTACTCCTGTAATCCTAACATCTATAATAATCCTAACAGAAAATTCTTACATCCTAATCTGAATACAAAGATGATTTTTAATTTATACCTGCTTGAATGCAAAGAAAATAAAACAAGCGCTGTTAATGAATGGTTTTATAGAAAAATTTTTAAAGATTTANCATTTTCCAAAAAAATTAAGTCATCCGTTATAATGTTTACACTTCTACGTTATTTTTCATTTTAAACTATTTGCAGTTTATTATATTCAAAATTCATTAATATTTTGGAAACAGAAAATTAGCTGGTTAATAGAATAATAAAAATTTTATTTTGAAAGTGGCCTAAGTCCATTTTTACAAGTTTCAAATTAATATGTAGTATATTATGGAGTTAAATTTTATTAGTTAATAATTAGAATAATAAATCTATTAAATGTAACATAATTTTACAACAATAATGTATCAATGGTGCTACTCTCTACCTCTGGTTATCCTAACACCTACCATAATCCTAACAGAAAATTCTTACATCCTAATCTGAATATAAAGTAGATGTTTTATTTATACTTGCTGGAATGTAAAGAAAATAAAACAAGCACTGTTAATGAGTGGTCTTATAGAAAAATTTTTTTAAAATTTTAATTTACATTTCCACCAGTCATGGAAAGATAGATACATGCCATAAATGTGATCTACTAAACATTAAAATTAAGGCATCAAATAATGGCAAAGAAAAGAAGGCAAAGCTTATGGAAGAACATGAAACTTATTTTAAATGAGCAGAAAATCATTAAATAAGACCAAGATCTAGTATTACATAATCCAGATCACTATTTCACTTTTTCTTTCAACTTGCAAAAAGCACTGTCTTGCCCAAAGTTGACTACTTCAGTTGTATATTATAAGCATAGTATGAATATTTTAAATATGGGTTTTTATAATTTCCATGATAAAAATGTTTGTGTGTATCTCTGGAATGAAAAAATTGCATCCAGAGTGCACAGGAAGTAGCATTATGTATTCTGAAACATCTAAAAAATCTTAGAAATGAAAAACATAGCTTACAGCAATGTGTGTGCAGGACAAAATAGGAATATAAAATTAGCATTAACATGGTTAAAAGTTGTCCAATCTGCCAAACATAAGATAGATGTCATCAACCATAAGTTTCTGTTATCATGGCATTCATTTCTACTGAATGATAGAGATTTCAGAGTTGTAAAAATGACATTAAAAAAAAATAATTTACTGTTTGTCCCCAGGATTATTATGAAGTCATAAAAAATGTTGAAAAAATAAAAACTTTATTTTGAATGAAATGAAACAAGAGGATTTCATTTCAACTAAACCTGTAGAGGGCATGGGTTTTAAAAGATTAAAGAATACTAATGGAGAAATGCTAAGTTGGTTAAAAATATGTTGGATGCATTTTTTTTGAACTGAATCATATAAAATGTTCTGTAGAACATCAATTAATGAGGATACAAAATTTAACCTCTGATGTACTACTGCATCAGGGGAGATCAAGAAATTTTAATAATATTAAATTGACACCACTGTACAATAATGTAAGACCAATTTCAATATCTAAGTACAAAAATATGATGGACTTATTACACTATATACCACCTGCACACCATGATTATTTTAAATCCCTCCCATACATGCAAACTTGAAATGAATAAACTATAAATTACAATATATAATTCCTTGAAAGTGAATAAAAACTGAATATTTTCTATTTATAACACAATATATTGCATTTTTTACTCTTTTGTCAACAAAAAATATTTTCTACTTTTTCAATCAATCTTCAACAGAAAAAAAATTATAGATTTCTTTTAGCTTTGTTTAACCACTTTAATATACTGCTCCAAACTTAAATGGCAAATTCAGTCTCCTCCTCATTTGGTCTTACTTGAAAATCATTTCAATCATTAATTAATCTATTTTTGTATATAAATTTAATTTTATTTAACTTTATTTAGCAAATGAGCAATTATTCGTTGTGACATCATTACAATTGCAATTTTTAATCATATTTTTAATTTATTTAGTTTAAAATATATACTTGCCACCTCAAATTAATACTGTAGTGTCTTGCCCCTGTACATCATACTTTTCCTTTAACAATATATTGGATTGTTTGAAAAGTAAGTTCATTTTTTTCCGTGGAAAAAACAAAATATTTTTATAATAAATACATATATTTTATTGAATTATATATCAACCATTTGGTCAAATACCTGTTGTCATCATTTCTGGTAGTAGCATGATTTCACATTCATAAAAGTTTTGATCATTGCTTACAAAAAACTGATCCAAGTGATTTTTGACATTGTCATTTCACGTAAATGTCTTAGTTAAAAAAATTTGTATAGATCGGAACAAGTACCAATCTGGCGAATATGGTTAGTGTGATAGTACGACCCATCTAAGTTATAACAGTTTCTGACGAGTTACCAAACTTGTGAAATTTGACATTATCATGTAAAACACTACATCTGTTTTGTTGATCAATTCTGGCCGCCTTTTTTGTTTGATGATATTACTCAATTTGTTTACTCGATGGCAGTACACTTTCAAACCAATTGTTAAATTGTTTGGAAAAAGCTCCAAAAAACATTTCCTTAAAATCCCACCAAAGAGAGCATTTCTCTTTAAGAACATCTGGAACCCATATATCGAGCTTTGAAATGAAACCAATTTGTTTCAAGTAATCATAAACAGTTCAATTTGACAAATTTAATCTTTTAGTGATTTCACATGTTGTTATTCAGCAGCTTGCTTCAATCAGTACCTTTATTTTTGTTTTCATTGGCTTCAACTGGCCATCCAGAACATGGTGCATCTTCAATATTGAAATTGCCAGAACGAAATTTTGTAAACCAGTTTTGGCACTGTCGTTCTGTCAATACATCTTCTCCATACACGTCACACAGTTTTTTCTCGCTTGAACAGCATTCTTACCTTTTTAGTAATAAAAGAGCAAAATATGCCGAAGATGCTGCTTTCGATCTTCCATATTTGATGGAACACAAAAAATAAACAATTGCACAAAATCAAACAAAATTTTTTACAAATAAGCCTTAAAATGCCAGCTGTCAAAATATATAATGATAATACGGTTTAGAATGAAAATGGTGAGAAAAATATGACTAATCCCTCTAATGGTAAAAAAAAACAAACTTACTTTCCAAACAACCTAGTTATGCTGGTCATCTATTAATGGCTTTAAGGGGAAAAGTTTTAAATTGAAATAACGTGACTTCCAGTTTGCATCAGAAGTTTGTGTGAGATTCGCAGCAAGTCACTGGGTTAATCCCCAAATGACCACTTATTCTGCAACAGGTTGATAAAACCCAATCTCGGAGTCTGTTGGATGTCTTAGGAGGGCAAATCGAATGGGGAGTGCATCAGTCAGTTGGCAGTTGTCCTTAAATGACAGGAGACAAGTTAACAAAATAAATGAGCATTTATTTGTATAGCTAAGCTAGGATACATAGGTGATAAAAATATATAGGTTAAATGTGGTTAAATACAACTAAGAGTAATGCTGATAACATAAGTACGCTTATGGCGATTTTACAATCTATCCTTCCTCTAAAGGGTTTACTCTAACAACTAGTCCTATATGCATAGAGAGAGAGAGTTCGCAGGTTCAAAATAATTACCTTTTGTCATTCAATCCTACTGATGTTTAGATCTAACATTAAGCAGGCAAACACGAACAGTAACAAAAAAGAACTTTATTAGAAAAGGTTAGAACTGTCACAGACATCCTCGGGCAACACCCGGACAAAATCCAACGAACTTTCGCGCCTTTTCTTTTTCGACGTTCTCAGCCACTCTTGTTGGCAAGTGTTGCCAGTCAGAGTTCGTGATCTTGGCAAGTGTTGCCAGACAGTGTTCAGGATCTCTGGCGCTGGCGGCCACAACCTCAAAGTGCTATATGTGGCAATAAC